CTTGGCTTGAATGCACAGTGGCGATTAAAGCACCTAACCAAGATTTGTACTTCTTGAAGGCATTAAAAGAGTACGAAAAAGTTGACACAACAGTTTCAAAAGCTGCTTTAAGCAAGTTCAGCCACCACCTATGGTACTTGTGTGAAGAGACAGTCATTTTATCACTGTTTGATAATGAGGTTGATAACCAAACCAAAATGAAAATGATTGAAAACTTAGACAGGGACAAGAGGTCAGATGTTGGCAAACGCTATATTCCATCAAAGGAAGAAATGTCCCAAACGTTGTTTGGTAAGCTAAAATTATTTTTTGTGTCTGTTTTTTATATACTTTACGTTGTAATTCTTTTTGTTAATTAACCTGTTTTTTGTTTCAGATAAAACGCTGGATGATTTTGTATCGGAGAAGAGCAAACAATTTCTAACTCGACTGCAGATTGACGACAGTTTTCTTCAGGAAGATATATCTTCTTGGGATGATAATGCTGCTTTTCTGAAAGCTAAAAGTAGGATAAGTCGGTTGAAGGTTGTAAATGACACTGCTGAGAGGGCTGTCAAATTAATGCAAGATTTTCAAGGACTTATCACGGCGGAAGAAGAACAAAAACAATACCTGTTGCGCTGTGTCAACGAACATAGACATTTATATCCGGACTGTAAAAAAACCACACTAAATAGAAGTTACCCTGCCTGATTGTTATTATTTTATGTGTTTAAATAAATATAAATATTACAATAAATTCATTTTCCATTTTATTCACTTCATTAATTTCATTTTGATTAATTTTATAGAAGATTGGAATAATAGGACAAAAAACATTTTTTGATCAAATTTGAAGCTCGGTCGGCACGGGTTGCAATCATGCTAGAAAGATCAAATTTCATATTTGAGTAAGGTTTTACATTTATAAAAGATACAGGGGGTATGCATTACAAAATTCGAAAAAAAATTTTTTTTTGCCATATAAGGGACACCCTAATATATATATTAACCTATCAACATTAATAAAAAACTTATTTACTCCTGAAAATAGAATCTCTTAATATACAACGTTCTCATTTCAGCTTACAGTCACAAAAACAAAAAAAAACAATATTATATTGTTTCTGTTTAACGATCTATTGATTATATAAATATTCACAAAATATGGCACTAGAACGTTGAACAGAAACAATATCAAAATCAACGATCGTGTGTGTGTGTGTGTGTGTGTGTAACGTAAGTTGAAGAGTATATTTTTTCTGTATCGATGAGGAAGATCTGCTATATTTAATAGATCTTTTTACGCGATCAGGAAAAAAATATATTTTTAAAGCCTTCAAAAGAAAAAAAAAACAGAAATGCAGAGAAAGTGATGTGAGATAAAGAGTATTTTTTTTTTGTGTCGCGGAAAGAGATTTGCTATTTATTTAATAGAAGAACTCTTTCCGCGATAACAAAAAAAAGATATATCTAAAGCCTTCAATAATGTGCGTGTGTGTGTAGAAATTAACAAAAGTGAAGTGTGTGATAAAAGAGTATATTATTTGTTGTCATCATGGGAAAAATATCTGATATATTTAATAAATATAGCACCACGGTGACATCAAAAATATATTTAAAGCCTTCAAAAATGCAGAGAAAGTTAAGTGAAAGAGTATATTGTTTTGGTGTTATTGTGTTGAAAAATCTAATATATTTAATAGATATTGCACCACGATTACATCAAAAAATATATTTAAAGCCTTCAAAAACGCGGAAAAATTGAAGTGAGGGTAAAAAAAGAGTATATTGTTTATTGTTTTAACGTTATGGTATGGAAAAATCTAATATATTTAAAAGATCTTTAAACACGATAACTTCAAAAATATATTCAAAGCCTTCAAAATGCAGAGAAAGTGAAGTGAGATAAAGGGTATATTCTTTTTAATGTTATTGTGTGGAAAATCTAATATATTTAATAGATTATTCGTCATGATGACATTAAAAATATATATTTTAAGCCTTCAAAAATGTAGAGAAAGTGAAGTGAGATAAAAAATAGAGTTTATTGTTTTCTATGGGGCTACATACTCTTTGTACTATATTAATATTCACATAATACGGAGATTTGTAGTCCAAAGAAAATAATATACATACGTATATAATTTTTAAACGAGTAACGACAAAAAAAATATATTTTTAAAGTAAAGTGAGATAAAAAGAGTATATTGTTTTCTATGGTTACAAATTGTTTGTACTATATTAATATTCACGTAATACAAGAGTTTGTAAACCGAAGAAAATAATATATACATACATAACTTTTAAACGAGAGTGAGAGGACAAGTGGGAGTGCGGAGTGGACGCTATCGCAAACGAGAGTGAGAGTCCGATGACAAGCGGGAGGGGAAGGGGGGGAGGGGAAGTGAGCGCAACTCCCCAGAGGGTCAAGCACCAGGACAAGCGGGAGGACAAGCGGGAGGGGAACTGGGAGGGGGAGTGGGAGGGGAAGTGAGCGCGGCCCTAGCAGCTTCCACAACAACAACTTCCGCTCGCGATAAGCGCCCCCGCACCAGCGAAACAGTGAGTCAGAACATACAATAAAAAAGTGATCCAGAACATACAAACCCCCCATTGATCCAGAACATACAAATACACCCTACTCAAATGGTTGCTATCTGTAATTCAATTGTATTTAATTAATTGTATTTGTCAAATTCGCATATATTTACTTCTTGGACACTGTAACTTGCTGTTCTGTTAAACTGCTATAAATTTGTCTGAGCCGAACAGTTGCTGTACAGGTTGCCCAGCTAGGTATGTTGACGTCGCCTACTCCGCTGGAAGTCATCTATTGAGGACAGGAGAAGAGCTTTCTGTCACTATTACATAGCTAAATGAAGGGTCCAATCTCAGAGTAATCGGCCATGTATTGCTAAGTCATCCAAACATTTTATAATGGACCCGAAATATATTTAAAATAAATAATTTAAACGAATTTATAGGGGCTTTGATATACATTTGTATACAAGAAGCAAAAAATTAACAAGAAAGGAAAGGATACCCGTGCAGTTATAATTATTAAATTTAACAAGGAAGATCGCTATTGTTAAGTACCTCGACTATTAGATACCCGTTACTCACGAAAAGGGACCAAAGGGAAATGAAGATATGCAAGCAGCATAGCGATATTAAAATGCGCCACCTACCGGGGGTAGACAGATTTAAGCGTTATGGGCGATAGGTATTGACGCGACCAATTCATTTCAGTTAAAATTTTTATTCTAGCATGAAAATTTGTGGGAGTCAGTATTTTCGGCTAAGTTGGCATTACTAGTTAAGACATTACCCATGGTAATTAACATAAATAGCCCAGATGCAACCCTTCAGTAGCAAGGATCCGATCCTCGCTAGAATACCAAAAATACCATTTTTATGGATTTTGGGGATTTTGTGCATCCTACATCCACTCTAGACGCCATGATTTCCTCCTCTTTGTCGCAAGCTTCTCCCGAGATCGGTTCGTTCTCTGCAAAAAGTGCTATAATTTTCAAACCCGTTCGCATCCACACATCCGCGTGTGAAATTCTAGGAATTTTGGTTGAGCAGTACGACCTGTTATCACTCCCAATATTGGTGGTAAGATTATTCGACGATATATTGGAAAAATCTAATTGTAATTCCCGGAAAACAGCAGTGACCAGACCCACGTGCAAATTCTCGGAATTGACAGAAGTTTTACAGTCCTCCCTCTGCGCACAGCAAGGAGCAGGTGCCGCGTGCAGCGATTCATCAGCGGAACCATACATTTCTTCAGCGCCAGGCCATAATCGCCATTTGGGATTCTTATAACGCACACCGCGTGAAAGGAATCTGTCTTCTTTGCCACACCTGGATTAATTTCATCATCGGCATACCATAAGCGGCTTCAAAAATCGCCGCAGTCAACCCGCGTGAGGTTTTGACCTTGCCAAGCCCGCACCACGATCTACAAGTCAGATCAAGTTGCAGTTCGGGCGAAAAACGCACCGGCGCCGATTCGGCGTAATTCGGGCAAGACAGCGGAGGCGGACGCCGCTTCCCAATTGGAATTTCAGTTCCAATTCTGGCTTCCAGTTAATTTTGGCCGGGACTGCCAACTCGTTTTTGTATCGCTAAAGCGATTGTAGTTTAATTTTCTTATTTTAAATATTTGTATGACGAGTTTCTAATTTAATTTACGATTCCTATTTAGCTTTTATACTTGCGTGTGTGCTTACGACATAGTATGACATATATACACTTAAATTAAATTATCCTACAGCGCACATCGATCGTCATCAGGCCTGCTGACTTCGTTGGAGAGTTCGTAAGTACGGCATAGCCGTAAATCATTTACATTCCTACATATATATTCATTCTTGTCTGAGCCCGCACACTTTTGGTACCAATATATACATGTAATTTTTCCACATTCGCGTATTGATATAAATATTAAATAAGAATCGTTTGCACTTATCTAATTTAACGTAATCCGCCTAAGTGATTTCCTGTAATTTTTGAATAAGCTTGCCGCATATCGATAAAATATGTAATCAGTTTCGTAATAATTTAACGTAAACAAAATATCCATTTCTTTTCCTATTTGATAATCTTGTACTGACACTCGATCATATAGAGAGTCTTTTGGCGTAAAGAACGCTTAGTTCTAAGGCTTTAGTGTTAGGATTTGTAGTATTAAGAACCATGAACCATATTATCGTATTTGCCGTATTAAATGAAATTTAAGATGAATTAATTTGTGATCTTTTGAGGGCACCTTAGAGGATGTAGCGCAGCGGTTGTTTTAAGGGTGGAGTCTAATGAGACTTCACAGGTAGGGTGGGTATAGAAGGTGGCCAATAACATCTGGGCCTCCGTCTTCGATAGGTACAGTCTCTCGTCCGAATCTTAGCCGATGGGTTAAAAATTCTTATCGTTACCGTCTCTCTGTCTACTATTGTTAGTTCTGTGACACTCTTGTTTCATCTTAACACAAACCCACACCCATCTCCCTGAGTAGGCCGGTCAAAGCGTAGACAGAGGTGTTAGGGTGGACAACGCTCATAGAGTGTGTTCGTTACAGAATTAAATGGCGCCCAACAATGGAGCAAGCCCGATGCCTGATCAGGCATCTGTCGTTTGACAGCCGAGCTTCCCGAAAATATTTCAATCCATCCATTTTTGTAAAATTGTAGTTTCAGTTAGTATTTCATTTTTGACTTGGATTTGATGGTACTCTGGATAGATTCGGAGCCATACCAGCAGAAATGTTATACTTTTGTTACATGTTTTTCTATCAGTTCGGTCATACTCGGACATTATAGTTAAAAACATTCCATTTTGATTATTTGATACTTCGGAATTTTAGTTCTGATTTAAGGTCGGTTCTTTACCAAGTTTTCAGTTTTCAAACCACATCTTCTATCCAATTAAAATCGAGATTTGTTCTAGCTGGAAAAATTCGGCTAGTCCCTCTTTTGATTGGTTAGACCTCAAAATACTATTTTTATATAATTAATTCCGCAAACATTTTCAGTTAATAATTAGTACCTATCGAACGAAAATCAACCTGCTGCTACATTACTCCTCAGGATAAGCCCCTCATATTTTTATGATACTACCGCATTCCGTATTTCTCAAGGATCTTTCTCGTCTTGTCATTGTTGAATGATTATCGTATACTTCTATCGCATATCGTACATATCTATCGCATATCGTATATTTCTATCGCATATCGTATATCTTCCATTTCTCTTTTTAAGTTTTTGAGATTAGTTGGTTGTTTAGTTAGGTTTTAAAAATGTCGGTTAGGCACAGCAACGAGAACTTAGTTTCTCTAGGTGATGATGTCTCAGTGATGTGCACCCTCTGCAACGCAGTAGTTTTCGAATTGGATTTAATTGAAACTGCTTGTAAACATTGCTTTCATAAGGCTTGTCTACAAAACTGGCTGCAGGATAGCAACACTTGTCCAACATGCTCTCAACCATGTTCTCAGTCCCAGACGGTATCTAATCCGAATTCCGGTATGCAAAATCGAATGATGACCAGATCTAGGTCTCGTAACGCCGATAATCAGAACATTATTATCGTCCCTCAGAATGGCAACTTGAATCCCCAGCAAGACAATAGGCAAACTATTGACTCAGATGTAACCGAAGACCCAGATCAGCAAAGTCTTGCGAATCAAATGCGAGCATTTCAAAAAAGCATGTTAGAGAACCAGAGAACATTTCAAGTAACCATGACAGATACAATCACAGAAAAAATGACTCAGATGTTTAGCCAACTGAATAGGTCTACGTTTGTGGATAACAATACGCATCACGAATTCCATAACAATTCAGGACAAGTCGATTTCCAGAACAATCAGGGTCAAAACAGTCAGCGAGTTAGGAACTCTCCGGATGTGCGAAGCGATCGCAGCGATCTTTCTTTGGATCGTCCTGACAGAATTTCAAAAGTGATTTCCAACTGGCGAATCAAATTCAGTGGGTCAGCTGACGACATCGCAATTGAGGATTTTATATATCGTGTAAACTGTCTCACTACACAAAGCCTAAACGGAAAATTCGATTTGTTGTCGCAGTTTGCAAATTTGCTATTTGCAGGTCCTGCTCTATCTTTTTACTGGCGTGTTCATAGGTCGGTAGATGACATGAACTGGCATGTATTATGCAGACGCTTAAAGGAGACATACTCAGATCAGAGATCAGACCGTGAAATAAAAAGTGCAATGCGTCGTCGTAAGGAGGGTTCAAACGAAAGTTTTGATGACTTTCTTGACGCAATGCTTATCATAGCTAATTCCCTCCGAGAACCCATGCATGATAGTGAGTTAGCCAGCGAAGTGCGCCACAATCTTAAGGCAGACTTGAAACTTGAGTTACTGCATGTTGACACCCCTTCTTTGGAAGCTTTGCGTAAGGTGTGTCACCGCCACGAAAATTTTATCGCGGCACTAAGTTTTAAAGCGTTGACTTCTCCTGACTCCTTTTTCAGTTTTAATTGTTAGTCAGGGACTAAAAATCAAAACTGTGGTTGTGGGAGTCAGTATTTTCGGCTAAGTTGGCATTACTAGTTAAGACATTACCCATGGTAATTAACATAAATAGCCCAGATGCAACCCTTCAGTAGCAAGGATCCGATCCTCGCTAGAATACCAAAAATACCATTTTTATGGATTTTGGGGATTTTGTGCATCCTACATCCACTCTAGACGCCATGATTTCCTCCTCTTTGTCGAAAACTTCTCCCGAGATCGGTTCGTTCCCTGCAAAAAGTGCTATAATTTTCAAACCCGTTCGCATCCACACATCCGCGTGTGAAATTCTAGGAATTTTGGTTGAGCAGTACGACCTGTTATCACTCCCAATATTGGTGGTAAGATTATTCGACGATATATTGGAAAAATCTAATTGTAATTCCCGGAAAACAGCAGTGACCAGACCCACGTGCAAATTCTCGGAATTGACAGAAGTTTTACAGTCCTCCCTCTGCGCACAGCAAGGAGCAGGTGCCGCGTGCAGCGATTCATCAGCGGAACCATACATTTCTTCAGCGCCAGGCCATAATCGCCATTTGGGATTCTTATACCGCACACCGCGTGAAAGGAATCTGTCTTCTTTGCCACACCTGGATTAATTTCATCATCGGCATACCATAAGCGGCTTCAAAAATCGCCGCAGTCAACCCGCGTGAGGTTTTGACCTTGCCAAGCCCGCACCACGATCTACAAGTCAGATCAAGTTGCAGTTCGGGCGAAAAACGCACCGGCGCCGATTCGGCGTAATTCGGGCAAGACAGCGGAGGCGGACGCCGCTTCCCAATTGGAATTTCAGTTCCAATTCTGTCTTCCAGTTAATTTTGGCCGGGACTGCCAACTCGTTTTTGTATCGCTAAAGCGATTGTAGTTTAATTTTCTTATTTTAAATATTTGTATGACGAGTTTCTAATTTAATTTACGATTCCTATTTAGCTTTTATACTTGCGTGTGTGCTTACGACATAGTATGACATATATACACTTAAATTAAATTATCCTACAGCGCACATCGATCGTCATCAGGCCTGCTGACTTCGTTGGAGAGTTCGTAAGTACGGCATAGCCGTAAATCATTTACATTCCTACATATATATTCATTCTTGTCTGAGCCCGCACACTTTTGGTACCAATATATACATGTAATTTTTCCACATTCGCGTATTGATATAAATATTAAATAAGAATCGTTTGCACTTATCTAATTTAACGTAATCCGCCTAAGTGATTTCCTGTAATTTTTGAATAAGCTTGCCGCATATCGATAAAATATGTAATCAGTTTCGTAATAATTTAACGTAAACAAAATATCCATTTCTTTTCCTATTTGATAATCTTGTACTGACACTCGATCATATAGAGAGTCTTTTGGCGTAAAGAACGCTTAGTTCTAAGGCTTTAGTGTTAGGATTTGTAGTATTAAGAACCATGAACCATATTATCGTATTTGCCGTATTAAATGAAATTTAAGATGAATTAATTTGTGATCTTTTGAGGGCACCTTAGAGGATGTAGCGCAGCGGTTGTTTTAAGGGTGGAGTCTAATGAGACTTCACAGGTAGGGTGGGTATAGAAGGTGGCCAATAACATCTGGGCCTCCGTCTTCGATAGGTACAGTCTCTCGTCCGAATCTTAGCCGATGGGTTAAAAATTCTTATCGTTACCGTCTCTCTGTCTACTATTGTTAGTTCTGTGACACTCTTGTTTCATCTTAACACAAACCCACACCCATCTCCCTGAGTAGGCCGGTCAAAGCGTAGACAGAGGTGTTAGGGTGGACAACGCTCATAGAGTGTGTTCGTTACAGAATTAAATGGCGCCCAACAATGGAGCAAGCCCGATGCCTGATCAGGCATCTGTCGTTTGACAGCCGAGCTTCCCGAAAATATTTCAATCCATCCATTTTTGTAAAATTGTAGTTTCAGTTAGTATTTCATTTTTGACTTGGATTTGATGGTACTCTGGATAGATTCGGAGCCATACCAGCAGAAATGTTATACTTTTGTTACATGTTTTTCTATCAGTTCGGTCATACTCGGACATTATAGTTAAAAACATTCCATTTTGATTATTTGATACTTCGGAATTTTAGTTCTGATTTAAGGTCGGTTCTTTACCAAGTTTTCAGTTTTCAAACCACATCTTCTATCCAATTAAAATCGAGATTTGTTCTAGCTGGAAAAATTCGGCTAGTCCCTCTTTTGATTGGTTAGACCTCAAAATACTATTTTTATATAATTAATTCCGCAAACATTTTCAGTTAATAATTAGTACCTATCGAACGAAAATCAACCTGCTGCTACATTACTCCTCAGGATAAGCCCCTCATATTTTTATGATACTACCGCATTCCGTATTTCTCAAGGATCTTTCTCGTCTTGTCATTGTTGAATGATTATCGTATACTTCTATCGCATATCGTACATATCTATCGCATATCGTATATTTCTATCGCATATCGTATATCTTCCATTTCTCTTTTTAAGTTTTTGAGATTAGTTGGTTGTTTAGTTAGGTTTTAAAAATGTCGGTTAGGCACAGCAACGAGAACTTAGTTTCTCTAGGTGATGATGTCTCAGTGATGTGCACCCTCTGCAACGCAGTAGTTTTCGAATTGGATTTAATTGAAACTGCTTGTAAACATTGCTTTCATAAGGCTTGTCTACAAAACTGGCTGCAGGATAGCAACACTTGTCCAACATGCTCTCAACCATGTTCTCAGTCCCAGACGGTATCTAATCCGAATTCCGGTATGCAAAATCGAATGATGACCAGATCTAGGTCTCGTAACGCCGATAATCAGAACATTATTATCGTCCCTCAGAATGGCAACTTGAATCCCCAGCAAGACAATAGGCAAACTATTGACTCAGATGTAACCGAAGACCCAGATCAGCAAAGTCTTGCGAATCAAATGCGAGCATTTCAAAAAAGCATGTTAGAGAACCAGAGAACATTTCAAGTAACCATGACAGATACAATCACAGAAAAAACAAGGAAGAACGCTATAGTCGAGTACCTCGACTATCAGATACCCGTTACTCAAAGGGAAATGGAGATATGCAAGCAGCAAAGCGAAATTAAAATGCGCCACCTACCGGCGGTAGACAGATTTAAGCGTTATGGGCGTTAGCGTGGGCGTGGCAAAATTATTTTTGGATCAATCGATAGGTATTGACGACACCAATACATTTCAGTTAAAATTTTTTATCTAGCATGCAAATTGTGGGCGTCACAGGTTTTCGCGGTTTGTGGGCGTTTAGTGGGCGTTGCAAACTTTTTTTTAGGTCAATCGATAGGTATTGATGAGAACAATACATTTCAGTTAAAATTTTCTATCTAGCATCAAAACTGTAGGAGTTACAGTTTTGGGCGGTTTGTGGGCGTTAGAGTGGGCGTGGCAGTCTACTGAAACAAACTTGCGCTGCGTAAGAAGCTCAGGAATCTGCACGCCAAATCTCAATAGCCTAGCTCTCATAGTTTCCGAGATCTCAGCGTTCATCCGGACGGACAGACAGACGGACAGACGGACAGACGGACAGACGGACAGACGGTCAGACGGACAGACGGACAGACGGACAGACGGACAGACGGACATGGCTAGATCGACTCGGCTAGTGATCCTGATCAAGAATATATATACTTTATGGGTCGGAAACGCTTCCTTCTGCCTGTTACATACTTTCCGACGAATCTAGTATACCCTTTTACTCTACGAGTAACGGGTATAATGACTCAGATGTTTAGCCAATTGAATAGGTCTACGTTTGTGGATAACAATACGCAGCACGAATTCCGTAACAATTCAGGACAAGTCGGTTTCCAGAACAATCAGGGTCAAAACAGTCAGCGAGTTAGGAACTCTTCGGATGTGCGAAGCGATCGCAGCGATCTTTCTTTGGATCGTCCTGACAGAATTTCAAATGTGATTTCCAACTGGCGAATCAAATTCAGTGGGTCAGCTGACGACATCGCAATTGAGGATTTTATATACCGTGTAAACTGTCTCACTACACAAAGCCTAAACGGAAATTTCGATTTGTTGTCGCAGTTTGCAAATTTGCTATTTGCAGGTCCTGCTCTATCTTTTTACTGGCGTGTTCATAGGTCGGTAGATGACATGAACTGGCATGTATTATGCAGACGCTTAAAGGAGAGATACTCAGATCAGAGATCAGACCGTGAAATAAAAAGTGCCATGCGTCGTCGTAAGCAGGGTTCAAACGAAAGTTTTGACGACTTTCTTGACGCAATGCTTATCATAGCTAATTCCCTCCGAGAACCCATGCATGATAGTGAGCTAGCCAGCGAAGTGCGCCACAATCTTAAGCCAGACTTGAAACTTGAGTTACTGCATGTTGACACCCCTTCTTTGGAAGCTTTGCGTAAGGCGTGTGACCGCCACGAAGAATTTTATCGCGGCACTAAGTTTTAAAGCGTTGACTTCTCCTGACTCCTTTTTCAGTTTTAATTGTTAGTCAGGGACTAAAAATCAAAACTGTGGTTGTGGGAGTCAGTATTTTCGGCCAAGTTGGCATTCCTAGTCAAGACATTACCCATGGTAATTAACATAAATAGCCCAGATGCAACCCTTCAGTAGCAAGAATCCGATCCTCGCTAGAATACCAAAAATACCATTTTTATGGATTTTGGGGATTTTGTGCATCCTACATCCACTCTAGACGCCATGATTTCCTCCTCTTTGTCGAAAACTTCTCCCGAGATCGGTTCGTTCCCTGCAAAAAGTGCTATAATTTTCAAACCCGTTCGCATCCACACATCCGCGTGTGAAATTCTAGGAATTTTGGTTGAGCAGTACGACCTGTTATCACTCCCAATATTGGTGGTAAGATTATTCGACGATATATTGGAAAAATCTAATTGTAATTCCTGGAAAACAGCAGTGACCAGAGACACGTGCAAATTCTCGGAATTGACGGAAGTTTTACAGCCCTCCCTCTGCGCACAGCAAGGAGCAGGTGCCGCGTGCAGCGATTCATCAGCGGAACCATACATTTCTTCAGCGCCAGGCCATAATCGCCATTTGCGATTCTTATACCGCACACCGCGTGAAAGGAATCGGTCTTCTTTGCCACACCTGGATTAATTTCATCATCGGCAAACCATAAGCGGCTTCAAGGATCGCCGCAGTCAACCCGCTTGAGGTTTTGACTTTGCCAAGTCCGCACCACGATCTACAGTCAGACCAAGTTGCAGTTCGGGCAGACTGACAGACTGACAGACTGACAGACTGACAGACTGACAGACTGACAGACTGACAGACTGACAGACTGACAGACTGACAGACTGACAGACTGACAGACTGACAGACTGACAGACTGACAGACTGACAGACTGACAGACTGACAGACTGACAGACTGACAGACTGACAGACTGACAGACTGACAGACTGACAGACTGACAGACTGACAGACTGACAGACTGACAGACTGACAGACTGACAGACTGACAGACTGACAGACTGACAGACTGACAGACTGACAGACTGACAGACTGACAGACTGACAGACTGACAGACTGACAGACTGACAGACTGACAGACTGACAGACTGACAGACTGACAGACTGACAGACTGACAGACTGACAGACTGACAGGACTGACAGACTGACAGACTGACAGACTGACAGACTGACAGACTGACAGACTGACAGACTGACAGACTGACAGACTGACAGACTGACAGACTGACAGACTGACAGACTGACAGACTGACAGACTGACAGACTGACAGACTGACAGACTGACAGACTGACAGACCTGACAGACTGACAGACTGACAGACTGACAGACTGACAGACTGACAGACTGACAGACTGACAGACTGACAGACTGACAGACTGACAGACTGACAGACTGACAGACTGACAGACTGACAGACTGACAGACTGACAGACTGACAGACTGACAGACTGACAGACTGACAGACTGACAGACTGACAGACTGACAGAACTGACAGACTGACAGACTGACAGACTGACAGACTGACAGACTGACAGACTGACAGACTGACAGACTGACAGACTGACAGACTGGACCAGACTGACAGACTGACAGACTGACAGACTGACAGACTGACAGACTGACAGACTGACAGACTGACAGACTGACAGACTGACAGACTGACAGGACTGACAGACTGACAGACTGACAGACTGACAGACTGACAGACTGACAGACTGACAGACTGACAGACTGAGACTGACAGACTGACAGACTGACAGACTGACAGACTGACAGACTGACAGACTGACAGACTGACAGACTGACAGACTGACAGACTGACAGACTGACAGACTGACAGACTGACAGACTGACAGACTGACAGACTGACAGACTGACAGACTGACAGACTAAGACAAGACTGACAGACTGACAGACTGACAGACTGACAGACTGGACAGACTGACAGACTGACAGACTGACAGACTGACAGACTGACAGATGACAGACTGACAGACTGACAGACTGACAGACTGACAGACTGACAGACTGACAGACTGACAGACTGACAGACTGGACAGACTGACAGACTGACAGAGACACTGACAGACTGACAGACTGACAGACTGGACAGACTGACAGACTGACAGACTGACAGACTGACAGACTGACAGACTGACGACGACAGACTGACAGACTGACAGACTGACAGACTGACAGACTGACAGACTGACAGACTGACAGAGACAGACTGACAGACTGACAGACTGACAGACTGACAGACTGACAGACTGACAGGACTGACAGACTGACAGACTGACAGACTGACAGACTGACAGACTGACAGACTGACAGACTGACAGACTGACAGGACTGACAGACTGACAGACTGACAGACTGACAGACTGACAGACTGACAGACTGAGTGACAGACTGACAGACTGACAGACTGACAGACTGACAGACTGACAGACTGACAGACTGACAGACTGACAGACTGACAGACTGACAGACTGACAGACTGACAGACTGACAGACTGACAGACTGACAGACTGACAGGACTGACAGACTGACAGACTGACAGACTGACAGACTGACAGACTGACAGACTGACAGACTGACAGACTGACAGACTGACAGACTGACAGACTGACAGACTGACAGACTGACAGACTGACAGACTGACAGGACTGACAGACTGACAGACTGACAGACTGACAGACTGACAGACTGACAGACTGACAGACTGACAGACTGACCCAGACTGACAGACTGACAGACTGACAGGACTGACAGACTGACAGACTGACAGACTGACAGACTGACAGACTGACAGACTGACAGACTGACAGACTGACAGACTGACAGACTGACAGACTGACAGACTGACAGACTGACAGACTGACAGACTGACAGACTGACAGACTGACAGAACTGACAGACTGACAGACTGACAGACTGACAGACTGACAGACTGACAGACTGACAGACTGACAGACTGACAGACTGACAGACTGACAGACTGACAGACTGACAGACTGACAGACTGACAGACTGACAGGACTGACAGACTGACAGACTGACAGACTGACAGACTGACAGACTGACAGACTGACAGACTGACAGACTGACAGACTGACAGACTGACAGACTGACAGACTGACAGACTGACAGACTGACAGACTGACAGACTGACAGACTGACAGACTGACAGACTGACAGACTGACAGACTGGACAGACTGACAGGACTGACAGACTGGACAGACTGACAGGACTGACAGACTGACAGGACTGACAGACTGACAGACTGACAGACTGACAGACTGACAGACTGACAGACTGACAGACTGACAGACTGACAGACTGACAGACTGACAGACTGACAGACTGACAGACTGACAGACTGACAGACTGACAGACTGACAGACTGACAGACTGACAGACTGACAGACTGACAGACTGACAGACTGACAGACTGACAGGACTGACAGACTGACAGACTGACAGACTGACAGACTGAAGACTGACAACTGACAGACTGACAGACTGACAGACTGACAGACTGACAGACTGACAGACTGACAGGACTGACAGACTGACAGACTGACAGACTGACAGACTGACAGACTGACAGACTGACAGACTGACAGACTGACAGGGACTGACAGACTGACAGACTGACAGACTGACAGACTGACAGACTGACAGGACGACTGACAGACTGACAGACTGACAGACTGACAGACTGACAGACTGACAGACTGACAGACTGACAGACTGACAGACTGACAGACTGACAGACTGACAGACTGACAGACTGACCAGACTGACAGACTGACAGGACTGACAGACTGACAGGACTGACAGACTGACAGACTGACAGACTGACAGACTGACAGACTGACAGACTGACAGACTGACAGGACTGACAGACTGACAGACTGACAGACTGACAGGACACTGACAGACTGACAGACTGACAGACTGACAGACTGACAGACTGACAGACTGACAGACCAGACTGACAGACTGACAGGACGACTGACAGACTGACAGACTGACAGGACTGACAGACTGACAGACTGACAGACTGACAGACTGACAGACTGACAGGACTGACAGACTGACAGACTGACAGACTGACAGACTGACAGACTGGACAGACTGACAGACTGACAGACGAGACTGACAGACTGACAGGACTGACAGACTGACAGGACCTGACAGACTGACACGGACTGACAGACTGACAGACTGACAGACTGACAGACTGACAGACTGACAGACTGACAGACTGACAGACTGACAGGACTGACAGACTGACAGACTGACAGACTGACAGACTGACAGACTGACAGACTGACAGACTGACAGACTGACAGGACAGACTGACAGACTGACAGACTGACAGACTGACAGACTGACAGACTGACAGACTGACAGACTGACAGACTGACAGACTGACAGACTGACAGACTGACAGATGACAGACTGACAGACTGACAGACTGACAGGACTGACAGACTGACAGACTGACAGACTGACAGACTGACAGGAACTGACAGACTGACAGACTGACAGACTGACAGACTGACAGACTGGACAGACTGACAGACTGACAGACTGACAGGGACTGACAGACTGACAGACTGACAGACTGACAGACTGACAGACTGACAGACTGACAGACTGACAGACTGAAACAGACTGACAGACTGACAGACTGACAGACTGACAGACTGACGACTGACAGACTGACAGACTGACAGACTGACAGACTGACAGACTGACAGACTGACAGACTGACAGACTGACAGACTGACAGACTGACAGACTGACAGACTGACAGGGACTGACAGACTGACAGACTGACAGACTGACAGACTGACAGACTGACAGACTGACAGACTGACAGACTGACAGACTGACAGACTGACAGACTGACAGACTGACAGACTGACAGACTGACAGACTGACAGACTGACAGACTGACAGACTGACAGACTGACAGACTGACAGACTGACAGACTGACAGACTGACAGACTGACAGACTGACAGACTGACAGACTGACAGACTGACAGACTGACAGACTGACAGACTGACAGACTGACAGACTGACAGACTGACAGACTGACAGACTGACAGACTGACAGACTGACAGACTGACAGACTGACAGACTGACAGA